GACAACAGCACTTGGGCAATGGCTATTCAGGTTTTGCCCATGAAATACTGGCGGCAACCCTTGCTGATGCAGCCCCAGCATGAGCTCCGGAGGGGCTTCCACCTGGTGTAGGAGTTTCACCAACAGAACAGCCACGGTTGTCCCTTGGGTAAGCAAGAGGGAGCTGCAGCAGCACCCATGCAGCGAGGGCTGTGTGCATGGTCCAGTCTGCCAGCAGTACTGAGCAGCCCCAAAGGATGCGTATGAACACCTAATTGTGTGAGTGCACATGTCAGTGCCTAAACTCCCAGCATTTCTCTCCCATGCATACTTGCACACTCAAGCTGAAAGCCAGAAAGGATGTGAAGTGTCAAACACCTGAGCAGAAACATAGAAAATGGGCCATCTCGGCCCTCTCCCCACCCTCCCAATTAGAGGCTCGTTTCACATCAGTCAGGGCAGGACTTGTGCTGGCTTTGACAGTGCTTGTCTCCCTCCCACCGTGGGAGGTGTGGAGGATGTCAACCTGCTTCCTCCGCTCCCTATTTCCCAGCCACTGCTGCTGGGAGATGAACTCCAGACTGGCAGGTAGGTGGGAGCTGGCTTTATACTTTTTTTGGACCTGGATCAAAGCACAGCAGAGGTTTCTAAGTGGCAGCCTCACCTTGACAGAGTATCGTTGCCCATCACTGCTTCAGAAAAGGCAGCTTAGCAGTGCAGGCAAACCTGCTCATGAGCTGCTGCAGCTGATCAGGGCCTTTCCTGGCTTTAAAAGGAGGAAGAGGGCTGGGAAGGGAGATGTTCTGGCTCTGACACTGGCTTCACCCATAGCCTTGAGCGAGTCACCTTGCCTCTGTGCGCCTCAGTTCCACGCAGTGCCAGGGCTTCAGCAGCACCATGGAGCAGAGAGAACACAAATGCTGTTATCTAAAGGAACCTGTGACGTCTGATCAAGAAATGTCTGTTTCAATGTGTTTTGAACTCCTCAGACACTGACTGTAAAAGCATGAACAGTACTTTTAATGAGCAAGCCCAAAGCTCCTGGGTTATCCCCCATACCTCCAGTGCCTTTTCCTGGAGACAGGTCACAGGCTTAAATTGTGCACCACCCTATCAACTACCTTTGCACAGAGTGTCTGGAATCCCATACCTCCTTCTCATGTCCCTGCTAGTTTTTTTTTTTTAATACCTAATTAGCTTTTAAAAGGATACAATAATTCTAGAAATTGTAAGTGTTCTAGGGACACAAACCCCTCTTTTTCATCCTGAGAGTAAGATGGGTTTGAACTGAGAGCCGTGAGATGGCTACACTGGTAGTTGCAGGGAAGGAGCAGTAGTTCACAACAGTGAGTGGTTTGATTTGTGCAATTTTTAAAAGCTGTTTGAGGTTTTTATTCTTTATTCCACTATTTGTTCTGTTTCTTTTTTTTTTTTTTTTTTCCCCTCTCTCTGCTGCAAAGACACCCAAGCCTGCCCCTTTCATTGCTTTTGGACAACTGCAAGCAACTATCACCTTAACTGATACAACCTTTTTCTGTCTGGTACTTTTTCCTTTTCTGCCCGTTTTCTTTCAGTGACTGCTTCCACCATACAAATTCTGGCTATTCAATGGTTTTCATGTCAGAGCTATTATCCACTCTTCTTTGGCCATAGAGTTTGTTCTCTGTTCAAATATTTGTGCTCCCTGAAGGCTGAACTTCACTGGGAATAGACATAAGCCTTCTTTGAACTTTATAATGACATGTAAAAATCTTACCTAACTGTAAGCACTTTTGCAATGTGTTACCTATATTTCAGAGAGCTCTGAATTGTTGTTTCTCTGCTTTAAACCAAAAAAGTAATAATAAAAAAATCCATCTATGTGACTCTTTTTGACCTGGCCTCTCCTCAGCTTAAAAAATAAACAAACACAAGAGCAGTTTATGAATCACAATTTCTCTGAACATATTTAGCTGTTTTTCCAATCGTTCCTGATGCAGGCAAAAAACTGGGACAGCCAACAGGTACTGAGCAGTTTCTACTCCTTTCCTGAAGTTGCTAAGAAACCACTTTGTGTGGAGCATCACATTTTCCTAGCTGGTCAGCTCCGAAGTGGAATTTTCTCTGTTCCCTGGCTTAAGCTCACCAAAGGTTTAGATGGGGTTTTCTTCGCCAAACCACAGTAGCAGCAGAGGGTACACAGGGCTCTCAGTTATTCCACAGCAAAACAACTAAACATATACATTTCCCAAAAGGTTTTTATGTTACGGGGAGAAAGGGCTGTGGTCAGGCATGAGATGTTTCGAGTCTCTCACGTACAGGAGTCTGAACAAAATCAGTCAGGTCACATTTTATAGCTCCTGTCTATGTGCTTTTTATCCCCAGATGGAAATATTGAGTTCTGCCAGAAGCATGAGCTGTCATGCCCCATCTGAAGTGTGTTTTGCTTGTCCCCTCTCATCACTACAGCTGCACCATGACGCCCAGTGCAGAGACACCCAAGCTAGCGAGAAGGGGAGGCAGGTGATGCTCCAGCACAGCCTGGGCAGCTCTGTCTGTCCCAACCCATTCAGCAGCTGGAGGTGCTGGCAGCCCTGGGATGGATCCAATGCCCTTTGAGTAGGTGGGAAGGCCCCCTCTTGACCTCAGCAGATGGAGAATTAAATTTGATATGGACAGGCAGCACTCTTATACACTGAAAGGCATCTTAGGTGGGGGAAATGAAGTCCAAGAGTTTCAGATGGGGCTGTAAATGTACTGTCCTTTCCAACAGTCGTGAAGCCTTCCCTCACTGCTCTTTTGACTTTTAACCTAAGGGCACCTGGAAAGTTTTTAAGTTAATGCTAAGTCTAGTGCTTCACTGCTGAAAAAAAAAAAAAAAAGAAAAAACAAAAGGGGAAGATCCAAGAGGGAGATTCACAACCAAAATCTGGTCTTGAATCTCTAAGATAGAATAAGTCACTCATGGGAAGAAGCAAGTCTCCGTGCTCTGTGATCTGGGAGCATTACCTGTCAAGATGATGGATGCATGACTCTCATGAGAGGGCATGAACGCTGCAAAAGGGTTATGAGCCTTGGGTTTAAAAGTAAGAGAGTCGAGGAAGCAAGCTTTGAAATGAGGCACGGGATCAAAATAATTCATGGAGAAAAGAGAAACTATCATATCATAAACCAGAAAGCAAAGGACGGTGTTGGGAAGAGAGAGGGAAGTACAGATATTAAAGATAACATTAAAAGAGGGATGAAGGTAGAGAGACTGAGGGCAGGCATGTGGCTTGGGTGCAAGGAGGACCTCCCTGCACTCAGTCTCAAATTTTACCTTTAAGCTAACGATTCTCTCTTTTGTATTAAGGGAAACTGCTTTCTCCTCCTTAAATCCCGAGCGTTTCCCACCTTTTAAAACCTCTTTAAGAACTAAGGGTTTTAAAAACTTTTCCCTCTTTCCCACAGGAACAACAAAGCAGAAAGTAGGCTGTTGAGACCTGATATAATTTGACCTACAATATTACTCATATCTGTATCTCCTGCTCTTCTCTCTGTAAACCCATATCACAGCCTGCACAAAGACTTTACCTTGGCCTGGAGATACTGACACCCCTGTGGTGGAAGGACCTTCACCAAGGAGAGGTGAGGAGTAGTTACTAGCCAGGCAGCATCATACAGTTGCATTTCTGCACTCGGGATCACCCCACCTCAATCTCTTGGAGATCTCTTAGAAGCTGAAATGGTAACAAACAAGTAAATGAAAAGACTGAGTCACAGTGTGAACAATCTCAGCCTGAGCTGGGGCCTTCTTACAAGCCTGAGGAACTTCAAACTCAAGATCTCTGTCCATGTTCAGGTTCCACTGCTGAGGTACAACAGGTTTTTCAACAGAGGTTTTCTCAACTGTGAAAGTTCCAGCAGTTTTCCACCTCCTTCCAGCTGCTATCTGGCCCTTTCACAAGCCAAGGTGTGGGCCTGCAGCAATAGACCCATTCCCTCCTCCTGAAGCACAGCTTTTTTTCCTCAAAGGTACTGGCAACACCCCACAGGGGAAAAAAAAAAAAAAAAAAAAAAAAAGAAAAAAAAAAAAGAATCAAAATAACATTACAGCCTCTTCATCACTTTCTCATAGCACCAAAACTGCCAAGGATTCAGTTATGTGATCCTCTTCAAAATTTTGGAGCAGTTGCTTCAGTCTCTACCATTCCTAGGTGTTTACAGACCCTACACTTCACCCCAGCTAGCTTTTAAGCAAATTCACTCCCAACAGCCTTCTTTCTCTGCCTTTATATCACTTATCAGCTACTGATGCTCCAGGTGCTTTCCATTTCCTAATGCTGATCACCCCTTCCCTCTCTCCCTCCATACTGAGCCCTACAGCCATCACCTGCCTCCTCTTCTGCAGCAGCCAGAAGAGTCATGCAAGAGTTCCCTAAACTTTTCTGTTTTCTGCTCTCTTTGGGTTTCCTAGTAAGTCTGCTCCTTTCTACCCAGACTGCAGAGATATTGACTGCATTGCAGTCACACATATTTTGCTCAGGTTCCTTAATTAGCTTCATCTTATTTTAGTTTGCATAAACCACGTTCTCTTTTTATTACATAAACTATTTCTTCTCTCTCAACCACTTGTGGTGCTCCAGCCAGTTTGCTTCCAAACCAGAGGGCTAAATTTAATCCCCCACTCCCCATTCAGCTTTCTCCATTTACAGTATTTTTTTGGTAATGCTTTTTTTCCCCTTCTTTTCTTTTCTGTTTTTTTTTTTTTTTCCCTTTCTTTCCAAGAGGCTGGGCTTCCTTTTCTGTCCATAAGCCCTCCTATTTCCCCCTGCCCCCTGGATGCCTGCCTACCTTTACTCTAAAATCCAGAGGAGGATCCAATACACTTAGTTTGCCAGCTCTTCAAGAGGTATCTAAGGAGGCTGACAGGAGTTTGATGGTCTCTCTTGCAGCCAGTGGCAGCTAATGTGGTCTGAAACCCTCTCTCTCTTTTTTGCCATTCACACACAGTACTTACTCTTCAAGCCTGCTGCTGCTGCCACTGCCTGAAAGGACCTGAAACACCACACAGGGAATTTTGATTTCTTCTGGAGAACCAGGGAAGAAAAAAAAAAAAAAAAAAGACAGGAAAACTCATCTGGAGATTGTGAAGAAGACATATAGTAATAGCAAGAAGTGGCAAGCTCTTTCCTTCTTGAACGCCGAAAAACACCTCATTTCTCTGCCAGGTGTATGGGACTTAGATTCTGGAAGCACTGCACTGAACTGTTAAAGGTAACATATTGCACTTTCTTCCCTCCTCTCTCTTTGGTGTCTTTTCTTCAACTTTTCCATTTCTTTCCTCAGTGCTCTAAAGATGCAGGCTCTCAGTCAGTGGATTGGTTGTTTCCCTGGTGAGCAACCAGCAAAGAAATGTGAGAAAAGTTGTAAACGGATTGAGCCTGAGTTTCCCTTCTGCAAGCAGCACTGCTGTGAGAGGGGAGCCAGTGCCTGGAGTGCCTCTCAGCACGATGGTCCTCCCCAACCACCCATCTGCTACAGGGAGCAAACCTATAGCCAGAGGCAACAACTGTGTGTCAAGTTTGTTAGTTGGCTTGGGGAAGGGAGGGAAAGCATGCCACCAGCTTAAGAGATCCTATAGCCAAAACCACGAGGTGGGAGAGCAGAGGCAGGGTTATCCCCGTTCTCCCTCCCCAAAAGACCCTCCGAAACCATCGGTGTTTGTGATGGATTTCAGCTACCACTCGAGCCCTGGAGATGTGTCTGATCCTGCTTCTGAGCACTGGGGAAGGAGGCTGCCGTCGTGCTGATTTGTTACAAGTGTCCTAAGTGGCTGCGGGGTTTCTCGTGATTATTGCTATGATCAGTGTCATAACTTTGTTACAGGGAAGGCGAAGGGTGATCTCTGAGCTAGAGGGGTGTTCAGCTCTGTAGGGGCTGGCAAGTTCAGAAAGAGAATGAAGGAGCCTGGATGCCAGAGGGTTTGATGGTGCACTCCCCTTGTGTGAAGATGGCAGGGACCGGCGGTTGGCAGAGTCTCCTGGGTTATTTCCAGTTAGCTGCTTCAGGCGTTACACAGTACCTGCCCTCCTTCTGAATCCGTTTGCAGATGAAACATATTTTTAGCAATAGTTCGCAGGGAGAGGAGCTCTTATGCAGAAGTAGACTGAGAAAAAAAAGGTTTTATTTTTCAGAATCTCTATCGGAAATTTCTTCTTTTCATTCATCTACTACATTTTAAGACTTTTCATTTAAACCTTATGCTAAGTAACTCTCTGCATGTAGCAGAAAGCATGCATTTTAGCTTTTCCCTTTTGAGTTGTTTAGCCAAAATACTTCAGTTTGAAAAGCTTTCCTAGATTTCTAGAATAACTTTGCCAGATGTGGGAAGGGGGGAACATCCCACAATGAAATAGTTGGGAGAGAGGAATTTTTTAGCATTCCTCACTACTTTGGTTTTCGTCTATAACTCCTGATAAAGAATGTTGGCCAGGCAGAGGGGCCAGTGGTTTGGGGACTGAGTTTAGTGGGTTTTCAGATCCTGCAAAGGAGGGCAATGTCACGTGCTTTTGGAAGCTGAGCTTGCTTTCTTTGCTTTGGTTGTTTGACATTATATTTTCCTGCTGGCTCCAAAAGACCGTATCTGCCTGATAGGTCAGAGGGGAGACATTGCCCCTTTCTGAGATGTTTTGAGTTGCTGTCAGAGTGCAGAAAAGAGAGGCATCCCCTCCCACCACCGCTGGACGGGGCAGAGGGTGAGGGCTGGAGATGTGCCCGTGCTGGCTGAGCGCTCTCGGCAGCCTGAACGGTCTTGGGGGGAAAACTCCATCTGTTCCACTTGAACTGCTGTTTAATGTTTCCTATAATCACCTCCGTGTACAGTAGCAGGGTTTGACAGCAGCACGAGGGCTGGAGGATGGATGGATGAAGAGAGCTGACAAGATAGGAAATTGAGGGAGTGAAAGAGACAGAGGGAAAAACTTACTAAGGAAAAGAGGATATTAAATAAAGTTCAGCAGACTTAGCACTGTCAGAGCAAACAGCAGCTCACTGCTGTAAAATACAACCTAATTAATGAGGGACATTAGGGATTGTAGAGGAGAAGAAGATGGATGGTATCGCTTAAAAGGCAGAAATGAATGAATGAATGTGTAAATTAAAAGAGAGACCAGATTGTTGTTCAGTCCTCTGGTATCACCCAGGGATGCACATAATGGTCAGAAACCCCAGGGACTTCAAAATCCACTCCATTATTGGTCTTTTCTCTCCTCTTCTCTTCTGGGGAAGATCTTCTGCAAACATAAGTTGCACAGATCCGGTGACTTCATTGACTTCCCATGCTGACTTACACCCGGCAGACACTGGGCTGGTGGAGGGCCAGCTGGTCCCATTTTAAAAATCAACGGGACCTTTCTTAGCTGCCCGAGACATCTTTTCCATTGCCACCCTCCTCCATCTCCTCGCTTCGCCCTTTCTTTCACCAGTGGTGGGGTGGCTGCTCTACCACAAGACAACCTTCCCCAAGCTGGTCTCTTCTTCCTTCTACTCCTCCTCCTCCACCTTTCTGCCCCCCTAACCCACTGCAGCCTCCATGTGTGAAACAAGCCCGGCTGTGTGTCCCACTCTCAGGCAGCTTCCCAGCAGCAGCAACAAAAGCCGTGTTCATAGCGGGTCTGGACCACATACGGAGCCAGCGCGCGACGGCTGCCGAGCAGCCCAGAGCAGCCAGGGCTGTTTAAAGAGTGAGAGAGAGAGAGAGACGGCAAAGAGAGGGAGCTGTTATATATTTAAAAAAAAAAAAAAAAAAAAAACTTGAGCCCAGTGCAACAACGGAAACCTTACAGTTTACTTTTAAAAACTCAGTGCTTCCTTGTGAGAGGGCAGAACAGCTCAGCCTGTGTGTGCGGGGCAGGTCTGCGGGCTCTGCCTGTGTGCACAAGGGCGGGTGTGTGAGTGCTGCCTCCCCTCCCCTCCCTCTCAATGGACTCACAGTATAAATCTAAAGAAGCTTTTTGTTGGCCTGATGAATAGGCAGGGGGTTTTGTCGTGCTACCCGCGCAGCGTCTTTTGAGACACTTCACACTGAGATTTTTTTCCTCCATGTGCTTTTCGTTGAGCTTTCCCTTTTTAAGAAAAATTTAAATTTCTTCCTTGCATGACATTCCCCCCTCCCTGGTGATTTCTCCATACAGACCAGAGAGCAGAAGGGTGGAGAGGAGGATGAGAAATACCAGAATCATTCAACTTGGGTACCCCAAGAGCCTCCATGAGCTTTAGCTGTTGAAATGCCCTGAGGTGTTAAGCAGCAGTCTCATGGACCGCCTTGCTCTGATTTCCTGTCCCTGCTTTACAAGCCCAACCGCTGTGCAATTTGCTTTAGTGATCTAACACTCTCGATGGCTTCAGCGATCGATGGAGGCAGCTGGAGCCATGTCACTGCCCCCGCCACCAAGCAGGATAAGGGAAATGATGTGACTTGAGCACGTTGGCCATGCAACAAAGTCCAAAAGCCACCAGGTCCCCTTTCCTGCTGTATAAGCTGCATGGAACATCCTGGGATCCGGCTTTGTCTGTGGGTTTCCATCGTTCTGCCTTTCCCCAAGGCTGGCTGAGGATGAAACCTGGCAGTGCTTGGGTCCTGGAGGGGATGACAGAGCGGAGGCCACAGAAAAGACCCTGCTGAGAGAAGGGAGCAAGAGATGAAAGCCAGGGAATGGGAGACCTCTGACAAGCGTAATCATCTGGGTTTTCACCTTTGTAGTTGCTCATTATGTCAACCAAAGCAAGGCAAATCATGGCTTTTCTACAAACCCTAGTGCAATCCAGAGGACACCTGGGTCAGCTGAAGTAGGGGGAACTTTGGGAGAGACTCAGAATTAACTCAGGTGAAGAGTCCTACCCCGCTGCTCAGTTCCCCCCAGGTTGTCACTATGTCCAGAGAGTGTGGAGGCTTATGATGAAAGGAGCAGTGATTGCTGTGAAGAACTTGGGCAATGGGATGTCCCAGGAAAGGCAGGTCTGTCCTTTTTGACCTGACAGCTGTATTTACTATGGCAGTTAGCGAAGCACTGCATAACCTTGAACATGGGGATAGTCCTGATTGCCATCATGTCACCAGGGAACTACATGGGAGCCAGGGAGCTTCTGATGCACCTTGGTGCTTCACAGTGGTAGAAGGAGATGAACCCAGCCTTCCCCTGTGCCCAGCGATGGGTAGGGCAGGTCCTGGAGCAGAGAACTCTTCATCAGGCAATGCCAAGACAAAAGGGCATCTGCAAGAACAACCGTGTCGTATCATAGGGTCAAAGTGATCAGGACAGGAAATTTCTTCTGACAGGGTAGTGCGCATGGGTTAGGCCTGAGAGGAGTAAAACTGTCTATTAAGACATGCCCAATAAACCTAGCTTACATTAGGGGAGAATATGGAATGTAAATACTCATGCTTCAAGCCATAAGGTAACCACTAAATGCCCAGTGTTAAAAAGAAACTTCCTCCTCAGCAATTTATTCCCTATTTTTCGTTGATGAGAACTTTGCTCTGAAGCTGGTGATGTAGGTCTTGTCCAAGACAGGATACTGACCTGGACACACCATTGGTTTCATCCGGTCTGGCAATTTCCATGTGCCTTCAGCCTCTCCATTGCCCTTGGTTAGAACTGGGGAGAGGACTTGGACACTTTATTAGCAGTAGTCTAGAAAACAACTGATGGACAGAAGGTATCATCTGTGATGGCCACAAGAGATACAGATTTGACTTAATAAGCAAGAAATTTAAACAGGAATAATTTGACAGGAAAAATATCCATAGGGACAACTAGCAATAAATAACCAAGGAACATGCCCTGTCTAAGCTTAGATCACAGACTGGAGGAAAAAGGTGTGTAAAGAAAATGCAGAGGCTAGCAGCTGATAAACAGGTGAAAATGATGGTGCTGATCCCTTCCAGCTAGAGCTCCCATCCATCATTCACACCTCTGCTGGGAGAGCAGCCACTGTGCTGGCGATTGAATAACCTGTAATCCACATCAAAACCTGCTGCTCCTGCTGGGATCCTGCACAGGGCTGGGGATAAATACCCCACCACAACCCTGGAAATCCCCAGACACTGCAGGATTTGCACAGGGCAGGGGCAGATTCAGTAGTTTTGCTGGCACAAATCTACTGACTTCAGAAGATTACTCTGGCTTAGCAGTCCTGTGGTACAGCAGCTGTAGATCTAAGTGTAATTAACATTACATCATCTGTACCACAGTTTCAAGGTTGAAATAATCACG